ATAATAATAATAATAATAATAATAATAATAATAATAATAATAATAATAATAATAATAATTAATATTATTACTTACAGATAGTATTAATTCTGCACTCTTGAATATTTATATTTTGTATTTTAAAAAGTTGATAAAATCTAGTTAAAAATGAAAAACTTGAATTAGTGTCTTGATTTCTAAAAGTATCTCATAATGTTCTTCATTTAACCATAATAATGCAGAATCAAATATATTTTAATGTTATTGATATCTTGTACTACCAATTTTTGCCTACCAGTAATGGATTTGTTTTTGACATATAGCCAAATTTAAGCTATCAGCAATAAGTTTTGTATAAATTTCACTTGGTAATAAGTCAATATGTTCTTGTATGAAGTTTTTAATGTCTTGTGATACTGTAATCTTTGGTGGAGTAATATATAAATTGCAATAAAACATATAAATTGTTGCGATAATTGTAGTAGTATTGAAAGTAATTTTAATATATCCATCACAATCAAATTATTCTATTGATTGTATATCACAATGTTTTGAAAAGTTTAAATATTTTTTTGACTTTTTTGCTATACAGCTTTGCTGAAAACAATAATACCAATATGTTGATTTAAATTTTCCAATATATTTGGTTTTATAACTAATAAAAAATTTTAATATATTAGTATTATTTTTTTTAAAAAAAATACTGTTTTAAACTTATATTCATAAATATTCTTCTTCATCTTTAATAGAATTAATAATAAGTTTAACTATATTCTTTTGTAAGTTTTCTTGCAGAGGCATTATATTAATACTACAAGAAAACTTAAATTCTATATTTTCTTTTTCATTGTTATTTATTATATCTTTATGAGAAGTTAATAAATAACTATAATAATCTGATAAATCATCTAATTTAATTATTTCTGGTTCATCAAATTCATTTTTAACTGAATCTTGTTTATTAAATTTATTTTCAAGGAATTCCAATTGATCAGATTCATTTTCAACTAATTTTAGTTTATTGGATTCATTTTCTACTTTTGTTTTATGCAATTTAATTTGCTATTTGCATATTTTATTTGTATTACGACAATTATTACAAGTTGAAAAGAGGCTATTAGAATCCACATAATTATTGAATTCATTATTGCAAGTATACATTAGCATTTAGTACATTTAAACATTTAAATTTTTTTAACCAAATTAGAATCCATTAAAAAAAATTTAATAAAACTTATATCATTACTATTAAAATAACCTTTATTAAACATAGTGTCATTATACTATTTCTTATTTATTAAAAATGTTAGTAATAAAATATTTGATTAATTTGTAACAAATAGATCACATGACATGTGAATTTTTATAGGGTATGCTGAGATAGTTATGCAAGTAGGGTAAGTCACGTGTACAAGAGCTTCAACAGCAATGTTATAGGGGTTCACAGGGTTTGTAATGGTAATAATGTTAATATTTATTGTGTACAATATAGTGTGTTGAGATTTATTATTTAATAAAGCAAACGAAGTGTACTGCTCCAAAGGGCCATTTCAGCCTTTATTTATAATATCTTTTTAATTATGACTTCATTAATTACATTAATCTCATTAAACCCTTTAATTCGATTCCTCTAATTTATTTACTTAAACCCATTTATTTAATAAATCCCCCTTCTCTAATTAATCCCCTTTATCTAATTAATCCCACTTTCTTGATTTATTTAATTAATCGCATTAATGCGATTAATTGCCAGGATATCCATATCAAGGATTTGATCGTTATACCCGTTCTCACGTGAGGTCCCGGCAGAATATTTACATCACGTTATTGGGCCTCACAATGGTAAACAACTACCTAGACAACATAGTCATAGAACAATTTAAAAATTAACATGTAGGTTTATTGTTAAATGATTTTTATTTCAATATTGGGGTCGTTTAAGGCACTGTGCAATCACTTATTGTTTGGGACGTTGTGGGACCCGAATGGACCCTGGCCGTTCGGGTGGGATATTACTTAATTAGGGAAGGAGTCGATCGCATCCGT